CCGGGAGCCCATTTGTCTTGAGCCCTTATGTCGGGAGCCAATATGCCGGGAGCCGCTTTGTCGGGAGCCAATATGTCCTGAGCCTATTTGTCAGGGGTTAATATGTCGGGAGTCCATTTGTCGGGAGCCTAAATATCGGGAGCCCATTTGTCGGGAGCCTATATGTCGCAAGTCAATATGACGGGAGCCCATTTGACGGGAGCCAATAAGTCGGGGCCCTTTTGACGGGGCTATTTTGACGGGGTCGGTTTGTCGGGAGTCGATTTGACGGGGTCGTATTAACGGGGCCGTTTTGACGGGGCCGATTTGTCCCGGGCCGTTTTGACAGGGCACCATCTGCCCAGTAGCTTATGGTGTAAAGAGCTGACTTTTGTTTTGTTGCTGGCACCCTTTCAATAGTCCTTCCACTGTATTGCGACACACCCTGATCACCTTGCTCCCACTTATGAGTCAACTGGCCACCAATCAGATTTCCCATCAGAAACCTCTCCAGCTGTCGCACCAAGAAAGACTCAGTAGAAGTCAACAACGCTTCCATGACTTTAAGAAACAGAGTACAACTGATCGCCACTTTGCGTTCTTGTAAATCAACTTTATCAAAGGACCAGAAATTAACTTCCTAATCAGCCTGAGTGCTTGCAGCGCTGGACGAGAACCCCAGGCTTCTTGAGATCTGCAAGCAGTTGAATGTAGATTTTAGTTATGTCCCAGCAGCCACATCATTCTCTTTAAGATGAGCCTTGAATAAAAGCTGGATCTCCATGAAAACTACCTGAAAAGAGAAGGGCAAATGGAATTAGAATTAAGCAGACCATTTCACAAAGTATATATTTAGCTCAACATATTGCAAGGTATATAAAATAAATATAAAAATTAGAAATAAATTCAGCCTCCATACTTACTAAATGAACTTCCACCTGAGACATTGAACATAGATAGGGCTGTACACAAGTTCCACCAACCTAATCCACTCACAAGCCTCTGTTCTCCTCAGCCGCTTTATCTCAGCCATCAAGTTTCTGATTACATTAGGTCATTAGCAATCCTCCTTACACTGGGTTAGTCTTGCCTATAAGCAAATAAGATTTACAAGGAAAACAAATTTACTCAAGCTGTAGGCCCTATGTATAGGCCTATTTTTTTTTTGCTATAAGTCTAGTATTAACTTCATATTTTAAAAAAATTACTAAGTGCTGAAACTGGCCTTAATGAAGAGGTCTAAATAATCTGCTGAAATAATAGAGGGCATAGCATAGGGCTTTATAAAAAATTATATATAGGCCTAGTATTATAGATATATTATATATACATATATATATATATAGGCCTAGGCCAGGCCTATTTGATGGAGAATTATGCCTGAACTAGTCTAAATCTAATCTTAACAATAACAATGTCTTACTATTTTTACAAGATCTAGACTAGATCTAGACTCCTTGGATGAAACAGAATGCAAGTTTCTGCAAAAATAAAATAATAAACATTATATTTATTGTAACTACTAGATCTAGGCCCTAAACAAAATTAACTAGTCCATTTCTTAATAGATCTAGATTAATTTTTACTAGATCTAGATCTAGATCACTCGAATCTTAGATCTAAATACTAAATCTAGATCTAGATCTAGATTCTTTTTAATTTTTTTACTAAGTCTAGATTCTAGTTACTAGATCAGTAGATTTTTCTAAATCTATTCTTGATGATGTAGAATATAATTAGTAGATCTAGCTAGATCAAGATCTAATAGCCTATTTTTATGTAAAGATCTAAAAATAAAGTAAATGTACAGTCTAGAGTCTAGATCTAGACCTATTCAACCGTAATAATTTAGTATGTAGGCTACTTAAACTAATAAAATTATAATTAGAATCAAGGCCTAAGTGACAATGAATAACTAATACTAATATCAGAGAGCGGATATCAAGAGATGCGATATTTTAATTATGTAATAATTACTGGGAATTTGGCGCGAGAATAAGGCTTACTCGAGGGCGACTTTTCTGCCTATGTGGAGGGTTAAGACATAATTTTTTAACAGATATTAATTTTTTTCGACCCTTAGACTTGAATCATTAATATACTTTTCTCTGACTTTAAATTTTAAGTATATAATTAATTATCCAAACTTACCTTATATTTGAGCACACTAATCCTTGGTGATGTTTCAAACAAAATACAAGAAATAAAACGCGATTAATTTTTAAAACATCTTATCGTAAAGATGAGGACCCCTTCGTAATTAAATGTAGACCGTGGGCTCTACTCATTAGCATAAACTGATAGGCCCCTAAATACCTAAGGTCAACCGGAAGCAAGAACTTCAGGTTCAAGGTACAGCCATGATTACCATGGCAACAAAGGTCACGGCGCAAGCTGCGCAACTCGCTAATATTAATTAAAAAGTCGTGTGTAGTAGGCCTAATTAATTTTTTTTTTAAGAAACAGAAAAAAAATGCGACAGCTAGATTCTAGAATCTAGGCCAAATAAGACGATTTGATTTACTAAAGTTTAAAGTTGTAAGGAGAACTAGAACAATGTTTTGTAGCAGCATTAATTAGCACGTACACTTAAAATAATTATAAATACAAAATAATTAGCAAAACAGTATTCAAAAATTAAAAATCAATCTATGCACATTATGAACATTATGTATTAAAAATAAAATGGTGCCAACTAAACAATGGTTTACAGTATTTCCGGTGGTTTTCAGAATGGCGTGACAGACTACGCCATGGTTTTACTGTTTTTACTGCTATACCATTCCGAAATAATATTCGATGCTATATTGTGAGATTACCAAAATAGGCTCAACTGGCGTTGAACGTGAAGCAGGGAATTAAATACGCTAAAATGGAGTTTTACCATCTGGTGATAGACTTAGTGACTAGTACTATAACACTATATAGGCATTTTGATGAAAATTTCAAAATTAATTTTTTATTAAAAAAAATGTATCAATAATAGCTAGCACACTAGTAAACTAAGAAAAAAAATTCCAAATTCAGGTCAGCCTGTGGCACCCTCCGCTACACTTGACTGAAGGAAAAAATACTTGACCTGTGACCTTCATTCAAACAGAATTTGCCTTTTTTTTTATTTGAAGTAAAAATGTGCTTAATCTTACCCAAATAAGTAAAAAAAAAAAAAAATTGAAAATGAATTTTAATTACTTTTGTAAAGTGAGATACAGCTTAATGAACATGTGCTTTCTTGAGGGGATGTGACCCGGGTGTGGCACATCACAATTGGAACTTTATATTTCAGTGTTTAATGATTATATTTATACACAATCTGCATGCTATGCTTTTAAAGTTGATAAAGGGTAAGTATACCAAGTTACAAAACTTGCAATCTAACTAATAATTTTAGTTTAAAAAATAATAAAAACAATTTTCAATGAAGAAAGCAAAAACAATCATCAATGAAGAAAGCGTAAACATTCTATTTTTAGGTGTGACATAAAAAAGTCATAAATCTAGCCAAATGATTGGATTCTTGCGCGTCACACATTTTCCTGCGCTTTGTGTTCACCAAAAAAGATTATAATAAAATGGAATTATTATCTTTACTGAGCTTATCTCATGCCTACAATAAATTATTACCAGTTTATTGTAATGTGTGTAAAATTAATGCTTTCAAGTTTCAAATAAGCATAGTCTGGTTAAAAATTAGCAGCGGTATTTTATAGTTATTTGATTCGAAAGATAAGAATTATATATAGAGCTTCTTTCACTAAGGCGCCCCTTGCTAGACAAAGAAATTAGGCAAAAAGCAGATCCGACAATTCTTAATTAACAGACTTAAATAGAAACAGATAGTTCCGATTTCTAAAATTAACGATGGCTTAGTAATCGTTAGTTTTATCCCTCTACCCATTAGTGAAAGCGAAACTGGTCGCCAATTTTGGTAAGCGTATGAGCCGTGAGATGGCTTCGAAACAACAAACCCGGAAGCTGTGAATCGAACGGCCTACTAATATTTAGTAGTTTTTCTTACTAAATCTAGAATTTACCCAAATTTCAAATTAAACATGACTACTGAATGATAGACATCCATATTTAATCCATTAGGCACTAATTTTGAAGTTTTTAGTTCATTTTAAACTAAATTACTTAATTTAATATTTATTGACACTCACTGCCATGGCCAACACACCTCTCCATGACAACTCTTCTTAAGCTTGAACGTAAAGAAAACCACAAATAAGTTAGACTTTTTAAGTGGTCATGTACCCAGAGTTCCCCACTAGTGATCATCAAATAGCGGTCACGTGGTTTAAAAAAATAAATAAATTTGGTTGTCATTCAAAAGTCGTGTCTTATTTTAAAAAGTGCATGCAATATTTGATTTATTTCTTCATATAATGATAAAACTAATAATTCTACAACCTCCAATTCATTTTTGTGACCTCCGGGCTGATATTTTAGAAGTTCTATTAATTTTAATGAGACCGACTTTTAAATTTGGCCTTCATTCTCCAAAGCAAATTTTAAAATGCTTTTCTGGCATATTTAGCCTTGCCACCTATAGGATGTTTTTATAACGTGAAAACCCGCCATTTTACTCGTGATAAACATTTTTAAAAGTAATTCTAAGAAGGTCTCTGGAACTAAGACGAAAAATCGTCGGAAGTCATGCATCCGGTCCGTACGCCATATTGTTGTTAGCAACCGGCCACGCCTCCGGGTTAGCGAGAAATACTAATATTTAGCAATTGATTTAGGTTTATCATTCATCTATAATCTATAATATTTGACACAAACATATGACAATATACTTCTATTAAAGCCTTAACAATGAGGTAATGTTTTCGTACATTAATAGCCGCGGGCGATTTTACGTACCTAAAACGATAGATTACCAAAACAAGTTAGATCTAGATCACTGAACCCCCCTCCCCCGTGAACCCTCCGGCCTTTCTTTACAATACTTTACATTTATGATTTATTCGTAAAAGAAAGAAAGCAACGAAGATAAAAAGAAAAAAAGAAAACCATACGCCTCTCTTTGCGTCCATTTGGAAATCCAAGCAAAGGATCGAAAGTTGGTGGATTTTTATAATCCGGCGCAGTATCTGGATGGGAAACATATGTATACCACATATTCCCCATTGTTGTTATCGTCGACCTCCAAAGCAGTAGCCGGAAATACCTACTTTTTAGAAATCCCAAATTATTATAAAAACTTCCACTAGCTAAACATATTTTTATTGTAATCAAATTTAAAAATCGACTTAGTAATAATATTTTGTATGTAACTAGCTATGAACAATTTAAAATCATAGCTTGAAAACGTAGGTAAATTTGTGATTATAATTAGTATTTGTCAAAGTAAAATTAAACTTCAAAGAAATTTCTATTCACCTGCTAACTCCTCCCACTTCCGTGTGACGGACGTCAATCAACCTCAGTGATCCCACCCCATAATCTGGTCTCTCTTTAAAAAATCCTATCACTAGGCCCAGTAGGCCTACTAGTAGATCTAGAACTAGACTCTAGGCCCTATGTTGAAATTAAACCTGCATAAGCAATTCTTCCTTCATAGACAGGGGCAACGACAACAAAAAAAAAGGTCGATATTGTATTCACAAAATTGCTAATAGTAATATTATCGTAGCTTACTGCTAACAAACTTTAGCTATCTTTCGGAAAAACATATTATGTATGTTAAGATTTTGTTGTTGTTGATATTTTAAATAAAAATCTGAACTGTAAAAATTCGGGTGCATATGATATTATTTTTACTACTATATTAATAGTTTCGATGATTATTAGACTAATATTAAACCTTATGTATTAATAACTTGCTTTGAAATTATTTTTCATTACCCTCTCTTCGCCTAAGCCTGCAGCTTGAAAAAAAAACAACAAAAAAAAACATCTACTTATTTGCTTGATCCTAGAGCATCATGGATTGAATGTTTCTTTCAGGGGGGGGGGGGGTCAGAGCAAAATATAATTTATATAGAACATATACACTTTTACTAGTGTCGTCCCCCCCACCCCCCCCCCCCCGGAAAACAGCAACTCCCCCCCCCTTGAAAAAATGTCTGACAAAAACACCAGAGGCGTAGCAGGGGCAGGGGGGGGGGAGACGACACATGTCCCCGGGCGCCTACCTTAGGGGGCGCCAAAATGGGTTGGAAAAGGAAAAGGTAATCGAAAGTTTGAAGGGGGTGCAAATCAAAAGTTTGAGGGGGGGGCAAATCGAAAGTTTGAGGGGGGGGGTGCAAATCGAAAGTTTGTCCCCGGGCGCCGGGAAGGGTCGCTACGCCTCTGAGAAACACTGCAGGCAAGTCTTTAAGTCCAGAGTTGCTACTGTTCTTGAGACAGTTGACCGCGACACCTAAAGAAATGTGTTTCTGGACATTTTCGAGGGGGGGAGGACAAAAATTTCCGGGGGGGGGGGGGGCGGACACTGTTAAAATTATATATGTTCTATAAAAATTCCATTTCGTTTTGGGGAGGGTAGACTGCCCCCCCCCCCCCCCGTCCCCGTCCCCGAAGAGCCGCCTGGAAGAAACTGTTCCACACCCACTAGTGCTTTTTTTTTCTAGACTGAAGACTTCGATACCTGGCGCCATTTGTTTTCACGAAAACGGCTGCTGATAATATTTTAATGCCAGCTAACTCAGTTTAAAAAAAAAAAAGACCATTGGGATTCAATTCAGGTGTAGGTATTCTACAACCACGATGTCCAATGAAGCTTGGTCAGGCTGTCAAATAAAACTGTCCAGACAAGTTGGCCAAGAAGGTAACGGCCACTGAGGCTGTTCATCAACACCGTGATTTCGAACAGTGCTGTAAATGTTTTATAACTAAATGTAAGGCCTACATCGTTTAGAGGCTGTCCATCAGTCAGCTTTAGATCATCGTCCCACAACAAATGACGTCACAAATCTCCCAACGAAAGCCAGGTACCCATCAAAGCTGTGTAGTCTCGGGAACGTACTACATATAGGGCTGGTAAGTAGGTCACCAACCAGTTCTACGGCTCAATAAAACCTGCATGAGCCATAGAACTGGTTGGTGTTTTCTCTAAGCTGCGAGGGTGCGCGGCCGCGCATAGTTTTGAGCTGCCGCGCAGTGATTTTGTAAAATACTTATACCCTTGTATAAGACTTTTAAAACTCCGCGCACACAAAATACACGTTGCACATTATTTTTTTTCCCTTAGAGGGAACATTGCTTACCAGTGCTATACTCGAGTCCGTGATCCGAATTCGTGACTTTCGGGGAAGCAGACGAGTGCTCTACTACTCGACCACCCTGTCCCATAAGCTTTTCACTAGCCCCACTCTTTGAGTTTTCAGGAAAAAAAAGTAGCCCTTACCTTACTACCTATTTCCTAGAAAATTGTTTTATCGTGAGTTATGGACACCCTCTTAGATTGTATGGGACAGTATGGTCAACAGGAGAGAGCTAAACGGATACCCTAGAGTTCGGATCCGTAGGACTCGTATTAGTTCTGATGGGGTGTGTGTGTGTGTGGGGGGGGGGGGGGGGTATTCATAAATGACGTGACGCTTTAAAAAATGTATCTCTCCTATCATGATCGCCACAAAAGCCCCTTCGAAAGTTTCAAGTGCCCCGCCCCCTCCCCCCACCCACCCGGAAAGAAAAATATCTGAAAGAAACCCGGATCTAAGATTGCTACAGGATAACTTGTGCTGATCCTGCCAACACTGAAACGCCCAAAAATACAATGGCGATGAGAGACTGCTATGTACAGCACGATACTTTGTTAGCTGCAGCAAATGTTTGTATTTCTTTTGAAAGTACCTCTATGATCGCCAGCACAGCGTGTCATCTGTATTTTATACTCACTCCTCCACTCCTCTGAAGCTCTATAATATACAGTAAACACCCCAGCTACATTCACCCCCACCACGCACACACACACATTTCTATAAGACATTCATTTGAGCCATAGTATACACATATTTCACAAGCCAAAATACTAGTCAACCGAAACCTCATAGAGAAATCCAAACATAGGTACCAAGGAAAAAAATCATTGTGCTGCTACTATGGAGAATCTACTTACAGCTTCTAATCATACTAGTCAACACAACGCTACTACCACTCATTAAAATATCATCATGGTCTTATAGAGCTACCAGTGAAAAAACAATTAAGGCTACAAATGAAGAGAAGAGAGCTGGCAGATATCTTTTTCAACAAGATCGAAGAGTAAAATGCTTACGGATCTTCAGAGGCGTAGCAACTGATTCCGCCGCCCGGGGCGGAATATAAATTTATGCGCCTCTTCCTTCCATTCTATTTATAGTTATTCCTGTCTTTGAAAAAGCGCCCCCACACCCCGTTTTGAAAAAGTGCCCCCCCCCCCCCTCGCCCAAATAAATAAATAAATAAATGGAAAGGTTTGTGGAGCTTCTTACCAGTTACTATCTCATTAGGTTTTCTATTTCGGTGCCACAGAATTGATAAAGAAAACAGTTAAATTATATCAATGTGAAAAGCCTTGAAGTCGTTTATTTTCGTAACTTTTACTGTATATAATTTAATACTTCAGCTTAAAATGGGCTTAAAATAAGCTTTTCAGTTAATTTTTCTACCCCTTTTGGCGCCCACTTAGGGTCGGCGCCCGGGGCGGCCGCCCCACCCGCCCTCCACTAGCTACGCCACTGCGGATCTTCAGTATTCATTTCCGTTTTAAATGCCCCTTGTGTCGTATAGTAACAATGGCGTTTGTGTACGTTAATGATGTGCAACTCACTGCTATACATTGTTGTCCTTATTCAAACGGATTGAATGTCCGTCTGTGTTTGTATTTATTCTTTTGTTTGGAATGGTTTCTTTCTAGCCAGCGTCAAATATTTAGCAGTCTAATACTTCAGCATGTCGCCCAGGTCAACTTAAACTTTGCGAGTATTGTAAAACGTATTGATGTCGCATAGCACGAATTAAAACGAGATCAGAGGAATAAAAAAACAAAATGTAGAGTGAAGAAAAGAGCATGTTGATATGTGTTTGACAGATATCGATTAGAGATTTCATGCTTGAAACGTATCGACAAACCCGTTTTCTATTATGCAAATACTTTAAAACCCAACAAAGTTAATATGCCCATTTAGTGACTTAAGTAGGCTATATCTTGTGAGTTTGTAAATGTTGAAATCGAAGGCGGGTAAATAAAAATAGAAAAGCTCGTTGACGAACTACAGACGATAAATCATTTAACAAAGGTAGAGCAGGAGTTTGTCAGAGATGTTAATTTCAAAGAATTAAACGTTTTTATGGAATCAATCATTTTAGGATTTTTTTAGTGAAAATGTTAGACATCTAAATTGTATTGATACCGTTGGCCAATCTTAAAACAGGCAATGGGACAAAGACGTTTTGTATACGATATACTTACGCACACACACAGTCACATACACTCAGATACATATATATATATATATATATATATATATATATATATATATATATATATATATATATATATATATATATATATATATAAACAATTACCATTACTCGTAAGTAAATACTGCTTGTAATGTTACTACATTTACCGTTTTACTAATAATATCAGAGTAGCTTTAATTTTTATTTTAGGAGCATATGTAGGCCTACCTCTGAGCTTTTCCGCAAATTTTTTAATTAAAAAAGAAAAGTAATTATCATTAAATTAGAACAATGCCGGTTACGAGGAACCAGTGTAACAAACTGCCTTGTGCGTTTTACGAGTTGCACGTGCATACTCGTGCTTTGTTGTCTTGCCTAAAGGGAAGAACTACGTCTAGCAAACAATGCTAGCCGGTTCTATTTACTTTTTTAGTGAGGTCAACTCCCCATTGAACAGGTTACGGCAACTACACAGGGGCAGCTACTCTGAATGTTAATATGGATTTGAAGAGAAGGGAATCGAGGCAGAACACAAAGTCGCACCCCGAAATGACTTTCGCGTTACCCGCAACGTAGGAAGTGACGTAGTACACGACAAAGATTTAGCAGTCGTAAAAATCAGCCGGGCGTGTCACAAAGGTGGTTATTGTCGTCCGCGGTCTGTTGTCGGCGGTCCCACGCCAATATACCTCGGCCAATTTACCCCTTTTCCAGCCAGCCCCCCCCCCCCTTCTTCCTCAGAACTCTCTTTTCTCCATTGAGCCAGAGGAATTATTAATTTTCACTACCGAGTGCAAATTCGAAAACGATTTCTGTCTGCTCTGCTTGATGAAGCAGGTGTTGTGGGTTACATCAGTCAACACTATGAACCGTTCCGGAAATGAGTGATTTTTTTTTGTTTCGTTCTCAAACGGAGCAAAACTTCGAGTGTTCTTAATCGCATGCGCCTTCTAGTAAAGAAAAAAAAATGCCCACAGTATAGTGTTGACATCGATTCGCACACCGGGCAATAAAAAGATAGCGTTGTCTGTCCTTAAAACCAATTTATCGAAGACACCTTTTGGATATCCGGGTAATTACCCGCCTTTTCTGTAGCCTTATCGGAACTAATTTTGCTCCGCTGTTTATATTATTGGACAGGAGAGCTGTGGGATATGGTGGTGGAAATTTAATCTGGGCGAAAACGTAAATGAAATTTGTACCTTGAATCAATCGATTATGAGGAAATATCCGAGTAAAGCGCAATCACAATCAGAGCTTAGGCATTGTGTTTTAGGTCTCGACGAGTAGCTTCTAAGACTCAGAACTCTTTTGTTTTTACACTCACTGCGCGGTGCATTCGATGTGTAGTGACACGTACACAGGCATTGTGTTTTTATTGATATGAAAACTACTTCAAAGAAACTAATTTATATTTTTGATGTGGTTAAAAAAAAAGAAGTAAAAATGTTGTTACTATGCAGACTTGCATTGATTATAGTACTGCAATGGTTAATGTAATGCATAATGTATAGGCCTATAGACCAGATTACAGCGCTTGTTGATGTAGTACAAAATAAATATGAACCAGATTATGGTGCCTGTTAAAGGAATACACATGTTTATAGACCAGGAAATTATATGTGTCACCTTTCATTGCGGATGGCGTCACCCTGTGCTTAAAGGTGCGGCTTATTTATGCAATAGATATTTTTAAACAAATCTATCCCATGATTTAAAAAAAAAGATACAAAGTCGACTAGTGTCATTTACACAATAGCGCAGTTGTATATTTATTTTACACTTAGAAAACGTGTTGATATTGATCTTGTCAATAAAACTATCGTTATAGTGCTTTTGTCAGCCTTTTGAAAGGGGGGGGGTGGGGTTAGAAGGGGCACTGACAGTCTCCGCCTCCCCCAGAAGTACAGAAGTTTCAAGTACCCCCCAACCCCCAACCTAACGAAAACAAATATCTGGAGTGAGCTCCCATTAACCTTTCTCCTATATTGGTATATAATAATAATACAACAACTGTAAATGCTTGCATGGCCCTTCCAGTGAAATCGGCTTGCTATATATATATATATATATATATATATATATATATATATATATATATATATATATATATATATATATATATATTATATATGCATGCCCGGGGACAAACTTTTCGATTTGCACCCCCCCCCACAAGATTTCGATTTGCACCCCCCCCCCGCTACGCTACTGTAATATATGCATATATATATATATATATATATATATATATATATATATATATATATATATATATATATATATATATATATATATATATATATATATATATATATATATATATATATGCGTGTGTGTGTTAACTTTAGTCCCCTATAAAATATGTAGTAAGAAGAAAATAGGTTAGCACATTCAGAATTCTTAGTGCTAATTTACTCGCCAATATTTAAAAAAAACAACAACAACAAACAAACAGTAGAGCTACATTAAAATTTAAATGCTGTTGTGACCTGGCTATCCACCCACACCCATTATGACCAGGTACACGACCATTTCCCCATTCGTCCTCCACCAGGTATTAGCGTCTGCCCGTGTGAGCAGCATGGTGCTAACAATGCGCGTGCGTTACGCGGTGTGTGACACCACTTCTGCCGTGTACTGACTTTTTTTTTTCCTGATACAAATCGGATGCTTTGACCACGTGAACACAAGCAGACCCCTGCGCTAACAACCAGTGGGTAGTGTAAAATTGCACACTAGCTCCTGTTTCCGTAGTGTTTACCCCAGCACAAGTACCTGTCGTTTTAATGCCTATACGGTCCACCAAATCCAGCAGTCGTGTACAACCGGCTAGCAGCGATCAATAAGAACACACTGTTGACTTAAGCATTAAGTCCTCACATCAAATTGGACACGGGGCGGATTTCTTTTAAAATCGTGCTTCCCATTTATCTCTGTTGTTGGTCTCCAATCCTTGACAGGCACTGGGCACGAACAAAGCTCGGTGATCGAATCGACCACCGAAATAACACAGTTCTCCCCCCTTCCTCCGCGGGCGTCGCCACTCGATAAGGAGTTGGTGTAATGAACGCCATGCCGCGCTAGCTAACAGGAACAATTATTAGGAATCCCGGGGATTCCCCGCCACTTCAAGAAATCCGTGAGTGGAATTTTACACTAACCGTTGGCATGCCGGTGTAGACCAAGGCGAGGTGCCTACTTAATTTGTATCCCCACTTCACCAATCAGACTTAAGTCTGAAAATTATTCGTGTCAGAGTCACAAAGAGTTAAAATAAATTATAGTTCTACAGAGCTAGGGAGTGCTTGGCTGTTTTTATCAATGTGGCTGAATTCATATCCCTCATGATACACTCCCGTTATCAACCCACCCATTCCCACCCCCTGCTTTTATCCTGAATTAAATTGCTTTATTTTTTTCCTTTGTTTAATTCCAGGATTAAACAACTAGTTTTAATTTTGGGGTTGAACAGTTTGGTGTAGGCTAAGGAATTGCAATTTGAGTTCAGAGATTATGGTACCTTCCATTTGTTGATATTTTAACACTTATTTTATTGATTGAGAAGAAACAACAATCTACTTATACGTTGTAGAAACTTAGAGACGTTATAGGCCTACATGTTAAGTAAGAAAAAAATACCATATTTACCTCCACCCCATCCAAAATATAACATTAGAGTACAATTGTATTGACCTTTAATGCCACTTTATTACTTTATTATATAATAACGCAATAACTCATTCACCTCTATTTTTTACATAACAATAAACTACAAATATGAATATTTTTTTAATAAAAATTAACTTAACTGTAAGCCTACATATAGTCCCTGGAAGTCTTGGGATATTAATACATTACGAGATGTCGAAATTTCGAAAAAAAAAAGTACGAATAAAATAAATTAGTATAGCAGATATGGCATACTAATAGCTAACCCAAACTTTTGTGTTAACACAAGGCCTTAACATTACGGCTAAGAAATGTAGCCTACATGAAATAAGGTCAACTGTTAGTCTAAACCTAACCTCTAGCCCTTCAAGACACGGTAGTAAGTTTTCTTTTAAAAATCAGATTAACTTTTTAATACTAATCTATTTAAAAATCAGCGCAAACATTCCACAATGCGTGTGTATGTCAATGTCATTATTACCTCCCTTTACCGGCAATATCACCCATTTAGGCTTAGGTTCGTATTATCGTATGTGCATACTGTTTGAAGTGGGAAAACGTTTGCCAAAAAGTTGAATAAGAAAATTAGAGGAAAATTAATTTTCAGATGTTTATAGATATGTTTTTAAAATGTATCCAAGTTAACTTGTTATCGCTATAAAAGAAAGCAGCGTATTTATAAGCATAAAAAGGCATATGTGAAAAATTACGCTATCCTAACTATCTACACACAATAAAACTACGGTGATTAATAATATTAGCAATAGTCCCCTCACGACTTTGACTTTATAATCTGATAACAGAAACTGTAACAGTACTTTGAAGTAACCTAACTGTCCAACGTAATTTATTTTCTTTTTAAATTAATATTATGTGCGCGTGCAAGGCGTGGGTTAGGCTAAATTTAAACTATTGTTTTTTTTTTTAGACTTTTATGAGAAATATTATTGGTCGATAAAAACAGTATCCCATGATTCTTTTGCTGAGGGAACCTCAAGCCAAAACGAGGCTAATATGTTAGGGATTTCCCCCTGAAGCCTAGAAGTATCCAGTAAGTATTGACATTTCTATCTATTCAATATTACTGTCATCTAATCGCATTTTCAAAAAATTATTAAATATATCGTAACTAGACTTACTACTATCAACAATTTTGTGTGTATTTCCATTAAAAAATGTAAATATTAGCAGTATCGTCATAGTGTTGTCTCGCTTCCTCCCGGTCCCACTTAGCGAGAGCTATCGGTTTGTTTACAAATGGTTTGTCCTCAATCCGAATGCATCCAGACCCTATTTTGTCTTTTAGGAAGAATTTGTCTGTGCAATAAGAGGGATACTGATTAGAATTCGATTTACAGGTGTCATTTCCAATATCAAATCTGGTAGATGGAAGTTAGATTGATTTTTTTCTCTCATAAGTCTCTAGTGTATTTTGTTTTTGAACGTCTTTCGTTTCATTCATATTCGTACCCGCTTTCGCCGCTCAGCGAAGTCGCGTCAGCCCACTTCCAAATAAGGCGTATAATGACGGTAAAGGGGGCGTGTCCTCCCGGAATCACAGCCCAACTAGGTGACAGAAAACCGCAAACCACTGGGTAGATTTCTTCAAACTGAAATAAAACAAGATTTTCCACAAGTTGTTTTCATAAGAAGAAAACAGCGTTTGACAGTTTTGGGTGTAGTGTGTACTTTCTGACGGAAATAATGTTTTCGGTGTGACAAAATTGTACGCGCATATAGAATTTCAATTTAGTGTAGTGTTTAGTACAATTTAATTAATAATAAAATAATTAGGCCTAGGCCTAGGGATCTCAGTTTCATACTTGCTATTATGCTAAACTAATTTAACTAAAGTACTAATAATACTAAAGTTTAACTAAAACAGGAAAATATATTTAAAAATAAAAACATATCGCCCAACTTGTATGTTATAAACTACATCTATAACTAAAATCAAATAGGCCCCCTATATAAATCAGTTGTATTTTACTAAAATAAATGATAAAATCTGGCATCAAAATAATTGTTTTAATTAGGCCTTTTAAAAAAAATTAATAATATATTCAGGTCTATTACATTACGTCATCATAAATAGAATAGGCCGTTTAGTTATGCTGTTTTACATACTTTAATAATTGAATAGTAAAAAGTTACTTCTCAACCAAATTTTCTTGCCTTTTAATAAACTTTAATCATTGATAAAAGTATATTTTTAGCCAATTTAAGGGCTTTAATTTATTGATAATTGTCTTAACTTAAGGCTAAATTAATAAACCTCAAACTAAATGTAAATATAATAATTAATCTTATCTACTAATAATTCTTTAATCAAGACCTAAGTTTAGTCCAGTATTTAATAACTTTTATATTTACCTCAAATTGAAATTTTACTTTAAAGTTTCAAGTGTGCAGTACTTTAAAGGATGAATCGCCTGTTTGTATCTAAAAAAAAATTATCTTAAGTATTAAACAGAAAAAGCACCTCTATAATAATACAACTATCCTTTATTATGATACAAATATAAAATAAGATAAAAATCAAAATCATATATTTAACAAAGTAGTGTAGTGTAGGCCAATATTCCAAATTCCTGTTTAATTGATAGAGTTATGGCACATTATATTATTGAAATTAACTTAGCTCTAATAGTAATCTTAAAATTATCACAAGAAATATGTCATATAAATTGATCATTATGTAAGTAATTAAAAAATTTACTCCCCTGCTATTAGCTGTGAAAAAGTATTACATATGGAATGGTATATGACATTTAACATACATTTAAGATTACTGTTGAAAGAGTGTTTGTCAAAAAGCTGAACAGAAAGTCATAGTTTTCAGTTGGAATAGTTGTGCAGGCAGTAACTATTATTGGGAATGACACCCTGTATTAGAGAAGTTTAAAGCCATTTGTGTATCTAAAGTTAATCAGTTTTTTTGGAAGTTTCTGTGGGAACTTTCTGCTTTCCAAATGATGAGCACAGATCTGCAGCGATCATTAGCAATGTACCGTTTCAATTTTTGGCCTAAACCTTTCTTTGCACCAGCTCCGGGGAGTGGAGGGATGGACAACCCCTCATTTATGCCTAACCCTCTCTCATCTCCTACTCTTATGGTCCTAGCCTCCACCGCAGAGGGCAACGAAGCACCCAGGCTGCCTGGACCACCACACCCCTTCTCAGGGCAAGGAATGGACAAGGATCTTCCTCCCCCACCTCCCTTCAGCACAGCAGGATTTACCATGTACAGACCTGGCGACCCGTTCTCAGCACCCCTGTTCTCTCACCTATCATTTGTTCGTCCCGGAATCGACAGACGATTGGCTATGATGAACCACAACCCTGGAGTAAGACCCGGGGTGTTCCGGCCTCTGGGTCCAGAAGGTGTCGAGGGGTCATATCATTCTGCATTTTCTCCAGCGAAGAAGATAAAGTCTGATGAATCCTCTGGTGCCTGTTCATCATCAGAGCCCCAGGGGAGTCATTCAGGTGATGGGGGGTTTAGAGATGACCACAGCCAGGAGGAGAGAGACACCCCACCAGGGGTCAAGGAGGAACGGCCGTCAAGTATCAGCTCAGCGGGGTACGACACCATCTCAGAGCCAGAGTCATGTGATGCTTATGAGCGAGGGACCCCAGACTCAGAGGGAAGAGCTTTGAGAAGTGAGTAGAAATACCTTTATTAGTTACATATGTGTGTCAGGAGGTTTCTGCATTTGTAGTTTAATTTGGGGTTTGGTAAGGCTATGTTTTATCACTGCACCAGTAAAAAATCACATTGTTAGTAGTTTTGTAAAGTAAAAAAGTAAGTTAGCATATTCTTGTAAAGAATCTAAAGGTATCATATCCTTTTAATGACTGTTAAGTCATCCTTTTCTTGTGTTGAGCTAAAGCTGAAGTATAAGGTTAAACTCTGCTGGTTGACTTTATGAGTTTAACCATCAAGTCTTAAGTTTCTCTATGTAGAAACAGGTTGTACTTATTTTATCATGGGTTCATTTTTGTAAGTACACAAGCAGTTTGTATAGTCCAATGCTGGTTGGTGGACTGTACTGTTCAGTGAACTCCTTGATCAAATAATTACAGAGAGAAATATTTATATTACTTGTAGAAACATGGCTATATCAATTTAACTTACTAGATTTTAAATTACTTTAAACTTGTGCTGAAACCAGGAAGTATTTAGGCCCTATATTTTAATGCCTTAATTAATTAACAGAGGGTGACAACATTTTTAATTTTTTTTAAAAATCGTCACTAGCCAGCCACCCAGATGGCTACCAAGATTATTTTAAAACCATCAACTTTTGTGTCTACTCCACAAAGTTAGGTTTTGGGTTAATTCCCGCTGGGTAACATTTTTATATGCCTTTGGTTAAAGCCTGATTTCATTGCCTAGAAATATGCTTTTGGTTATGTCTGTAGCATCCACATAGGCCTACGGGAGGGAATCACCATAGCAATATTACATGAAATATATGCCGACCATTACGGTTATAGCCAGGTAGATTTAGCGCTGTATTTTTTGAGGTCGAAGTATCGTTATCACTACTACGACTTAGTGACTAGCAGATCCGCTAGGAACGTATTTCAATCGGCCTAAAGTGAAGTGCTGACACGAATTGTAACAACACAAATCATGGAGAGATTTACTTTACCTGCTATTTCTGAATACAAATCGAACCTATCGTTGCGGTGATCAATGCACATGACATGATTATTGATCAGCGAAAGCCATATTTTTTTTTTCTCTCTCGTCGGAGTTTAATCTGCCGTCTCTGCTCAATGGCCCTTCTGTTGCTTTACTTAAGTCTAATTGAGGCGGGTGTTTTAAAACTAAAACTATGTCTAAATAAAAGTACACAACTAGGCCGTTCAAAGTGTTAAAGCTACAGTTTATTTGTTTAACCCTGAGTTGTAGCTTTAAACCGCGTTTACACGTACGACATGTATAGGGCTACTGTTCATGTCTAAAAAAAACTTCCCACAGCAAGTTAGTATAAATCTACATGTTCCGCGGGAAAAATGTTTTAAAATGACATAAACTTGCTGCGAGTTTTTCTCCCGTAGTTTATATGTTGCAAGTGTAAACGCCGTGTTAGGCTGAAGAATTCACTAGTGGTTTATTTAAATGTCGACGTCAGTTGTTTCCCTTGACCAAGCGAGTCCTGTTACCGTAATTTGTGCCGAAATTTAACCGTAATATCTGAAGGTAATCAAATTAGTATTTTATAATTACAATAAATAAATCAGAATGTAAGACTAGCGCTTTTAATTTTTGTTGTTGGCCATACGTGTGGGTTTTACAAACTATTACTTTGGTGACATATCAAAATGTATGTGGGTAAGGGGGTTTGTTGTGTTCAACCTTTTTTTTTTATTTTACATAATTTCAGAAGCAACGATTTCTTTGAAACTTTTTTTTAAATTCACTTTTGTTGAAAACGCAATAATATTTCATATTTGATTTAATTAGATCAATATTAATCATTAAAAATCGATTTAAAAATCACTATTTTAAATTATAAAAGAGGAAATAACAAGGTTAATTAGAGTAGGTTTGTTGCAATTACACGATCAGTCATGTGGCTGAGGTGTGTTCACACATATTTTCTCACCTGAGAACCGACCACAGACTCTACTAATGAGCAGATAAATGTCATTTGGAGGTACTCATCGCGTTTTTAGCAAATAATTTTAGTTGAGCGAGTTGTCGACTAAATTAATTAAACTAATAATGATCAGAATACAGCTGGTGATTATGTTTTGAAAACTTATATTTCTGCAGTATTTTAATACTAAAAATTAGAATAAAATAGGTAAAAAAATATTTAGATACAAGCTATAATACACCAAAGACTAAGAAAAAAAGACATACATTTTCTTTAGCTATAATATTAAAAATAAAAGCTTTGGTCGCAATATGTATTGAAAACGACTGTTGGACCTACAAAACCTTTAAAATTTAATGCTCTAACTCACGAAAACTATCTTCAGTGTGTTTAAAAGCTTGTTGTTTAGATTGTTTTATTCCTTAAGCGTTCAAACTAGTTTCAGACTAAAAGTAACAAACCTAACAATTGTTTTTTTTTTTAAATTAGTTTTTACAAGTAAAGTTTTGAAACTAAAATGTATCTTTGAAGAGCACAGCTCAATAGATATTTTGGCCCTATTAAATGTATTTACTAAATAATTGTACGGCTTAATGAATATAGCATTCCACACATTAATCGCCCTTTAACAAAGATAATATGTTAGGTAAAAGGCTATCTGTGATAGACGGACATGCCATTTGAAAATCACATTCACCACTGTGTAGTAAATGAAAAAATGGGTATAAGCCGTAACGGTTTATGTCGCCAAAAATAACATCACCAAACCCTTTCATGCGTAGTGATACAATTAACGCTTGATCGGGAATCTGCGGCTGTTTGGTAGGAATAGGCAGCTGTTCGGTGGGAATCTTCGGCAATGTGGTGGGAATCTGCGGCTCTTCAGCGATAATTACCTGCGGCAATTTGTTTGTAATTAAAAATGTAATCTTCGGTTGTATGGTGGGAATCAGCGGCTCTTGAGCGGGAATCTGCGGAAATTTGGTGGGAAATATTCGGCTGTTTCTGGGAATCTGTGGCAATGTGGTGGGAATTTGTGGCTCTTCAGTGACAATCTGCGGCTCTTCAGCAATAATCTGTGGCTCTTAAGCAGGAAATGTTGCTCTTTGGCCGGAACCTTCGGCTATTTGGTGGGAATATTCGGCTCTTTAGTGGGAATATGTGATTCTTTGGCGGAAGTCTGTCGTTCTTTAAATTTCGGAAAATTATGTTACTCTTCCTAAAAGTAGATAACACCTACACAAAAGTATTTCTTTAATGAAGTGTCTACTTAAAACGCCAGAGCAAAATATTTATTGTGCTGCTCTCGAGTTATATACTTTAAACAAATTAGTCTTTAAAATGTTAGCGACGTTTTTGGTAACCCAATATTATCAATTCACCCAACAACATTATATTGTAGTATATGTGTTACACAACAGATAATTTCATCTATGTTAAAAATGTATCGTCAAATTATTTATATAATTAATTATATACGCTTTGCTTACTATTTTGCATTCAACCACATATGTTAAATATGAAAGCTTTCAGACGGCGCACACAAACTATTTTATGTTATTTTATATTTATAGTATACGCCTTCTTATATACTTCAGTGTTGTATAGCTATGGTTATCAGGCAGTAGGCAGTTCCCCAAAGTCTTTTGTACTGTCGGCTTTAATCTCTTTCTTTTGTCTTTCCCGTACTTTTGTCCATATCGCCAATTTTTTTCCTTGTCGCACTCTAGTCCAATTTCTGTATGGTATCCTTATCCCCTCTTGTAGGTAGTAATGGGAGTAGCAAACCTAGGCAATCAATGTGGTTCAAATATTATCGTGATGTCTTGGTGTATTAAACAACACACCTGTACGTACATGTAAGACCTGTCAGTACTTCACATACAAAGTAACTTTTTGTGACGTTTTATGTGTTGCATTTTAATTCGTTTACGATCAAATTTGTTTTCTTGCTCAATAAACTGACCTAAGACACTGACCGACAGAAACAAATGGTAGCCTATATGTCTTGTAGGCCTACTTGTTCACGTATTGTTCTGCATTTTACATGTATGTTTTAGACATGTCTTGTATGTTTTAGACCAGGGGTCGGCAACCTGCGGCTCGCGAGCCGCATGCGGCTCTTTTGATATCAAGATGCGGCTCTCCAGCTCCTTGAACAAATACTAATAATCTTAATAAAAAAATAAAATATTTGAAATAAAAAAATGTTATTGGCTATTTAAAACCAGGGAAATTAAAAAAAATGTAACTTTTGGCTCTTCCGCTTCAAAAGGTTGCCGACCCCTGTTTTAGACATATATATGCATGTAATGTATGTTTTAGACATGTGTTGTACATACATATGCATGTGTTGTATGTTTTAGACATGTCTGTGCGTGTGTTTGATTTTACAAAGAAATAATAACGGGAGATCTAAACATGGAGGTTAATGCAAAGAAATATATACTTTAAAAAAAAATCTGTAATTTTGTAAAGCCCAAAATAAGTTTTGAATTTTGGCATTTGACATAAAACAAATAACACTACAGGAAAAAGTAAAATAAAGTTTATTGGGGCAAACCTTGATCGTCCCAGTAAACAGGCTGATACACGTAACTCAGGCCCCATAAAAATAATATATTAATGGATGAGCATTACTGTTTAGGAGACAGTCTCTAGTAATTATCAATATGACCCCTTTGTAAAATTAACACCAGGAACAGTATGGGGGAGTGGGGAAAGCCGCGCACTCCGGTAAAAAGTTTTAACATATAAAAAAAATAGACGTTCAGGTAACATTTATAATTGTGTAACTTTTCATTCTGAATCGGTGTGGTACGGTTAAAACCTGACATTAGACATTAAAAAGCCTATCGTCATCTTTATCATCTAAGAAAATAAAAACCGATATTTTCCACCGACGGATGCAAATATTACATATTAAATTATTGCACATTTTCACGAGGTAGATAGTCTATAGTGGTTACTCCATCATAAGGGGTCATCCATTTATGACGTCCACAATTTTTTGGGATTTTGGAAACCCCCCCCCCCCCCGTCCACAAAAAT